TTGTGAATTCCACTGTGCACGGCTAGACTACATGAGCTACCAAGTATCAAATGAAGGTACAGAGATGGACCCAGCCAAAGTACAATCCATCCTAGGCTGGCAACCCCCTCACATCCGCAGACAGCTACAAAGCTTCCTAGGGTTCTCAAACTTCTACAGACAATTTATCCCCTCCTTTGCAAAGATTGCCAAACCCATTATAGACCTCTTAAAGACAGGGGGCCCAGGTACAAAACCCCACCTGGGACAACCTCTATAGTGGGACCTAAACTGCCAAGAGGCATTTGAAACACTAAAAGAAATGTTTGCAAAGGAACCGGTGCTGAAGCAGACTGACCCAGAACAACTCTTTGTTATCCAAGCAGATGCTAGTGATGTGGCAGCAGAAGCAGTGTTACTCCAAAAAAACAGCCAAGGAAACCTATAGCCTGTGCCTATACCTCCCGCAAGCTAACAGACATAGAGAGGTGATGGGAAAAAGAGGCTTTCGCTGTGAGATGGGCACTACTAACCTGGCAACACCTGCTGGAAGGGGGCCAGAAACAGCTTGAAATCTCTACTGACACAAAAATCTGGAGGCCCTCAGGTCCCCATGGAAACTATCACTCAAACAAGTCTGCTGAGCTCAGTACTTCAACCTTTTTGACTTAGTATTGAAGCAAATTCCAGGGGGAAAGAACTTTCTAGCAGATGCCCTCTCCTGCATGCCCCAGTACAAATGTGAACAGGAGCAGGTAGTGGATGCCATTGTTGTCCCTACTCAAACAGCTGCCCAAGTGACCACCAACTACTAGCAGACCCCTGGTTTTGAGACAATCAACGCATCTTGACAAAAAGAGATGACCTCGCATGGAAGGGGACAAAGCTTTATGTCTCAGAATCCCTACACACCCTAATCCTCCAGAGGAGCCATGACATTAAACTGGCAGGCCACTTCGGATTCCTAAAGACATTACATTTAGCATGGAGGCAGTTCTGGTGGCCCAACATAAAGAATGATGTGGACAGTTATGTGAAAAGTTGCACCATCTGCATCACAATGCAGAAATGACCAGGAAAACTCCCTGGACTGCTGCAACTGGCAGCAGAGCTAATAGGACCATGGGAAGAGATTGCAATGGACTTTATATTGGAGTTGCCGAAAAGTGGGGGAACACCATGATTTGGACTGTAATAGACCGGTTCGCCAAACAGGCATACTTCATATGGCTAGTATAAGGTATAAATCTTTATTACGGTCAAAGACCCGCAATATACATTCTTTTTTACAATATGTTAAAAAGTACTGACAATAAGATATAATTAAAAAGTATTGATGTTAAAACTGGAAAATAACATACATGTTCTCAGATTGTTCGGATCGCTCCCTGGTTTACCTGGGTGCAAAGCTGTTAAGTATGGGAGTAAATACAATGGTCCAAAGATTGTTAGAGATATGTCCAGATAATTGGTACAAAATGACAACTATACTTCTGTAGCCATTTTTTTCTTATGGACATTGCAGCAGCACAGAACTTTGCCACTGAATACATGATAACTGGGTTAGTGTCCTGGAGGAGAAAGCCTAGATAAAAATTGTCTGCCGTCCCTAATCTTTCCAACAAGGGGGGGAATATGTGCAGACCAACAAGTTCTGTATAGCTCACAGTGTAATAGAACATGCGA